GTAAAAATACTCTTCCTTATTAAAACTTTTACTCTTTTTGCCTCCAATATGCCTAGGTGCAGAGAGGATTTTTAAAGAAATAATGCATTTTTACTACAGATTCACTATATTATCAATAGAGCCCCCCCCATTCGAGAAACACCAGAGCCTCTGACCCTGGGACCAGAAGTTTGCTCATCATAACAAATTACTTTGTTTATCTGCTTAACACTAAGGAACAGACAGGATTATTTAATAGAATTAATGCATTTTCACTATATTATCAAGAGCCCCATCCTTACACCAGCACATCAGACCCAGGGGTCATGAAATTTACTCTGGAAGAAGCACTCTTACTCATTGTAACTATACAGTTAGCTTCTTTGCTTTTTAACCAGAAGCAAAAAAGAATATTTTCAATGGAATTTTGCTTTTTCACTATATAATCAATAGAGCCCCCCCCCCCCCTTTTTCACCGAACCCTTGACTCTGGGGCCATGAAATTCACAATTTGGAAGAGGCATTCTTGTGTATCATAACAATGTACTTAGTTTGTTTAAATAATACCCAGAGGCAGAGAAGAAGATTTTCAAAGCAACAATTCACCTTCACTATAGGATCTATATAGCCCCGCCCTAGCACCAGAACCCCTGTCCATGGGGCCATGAATTTCACTATTTGGAAGAGGCATCCTTGGTTATCATAACAATTTACTTACTTTAATTGTTCAAATAATACCCATGAGCAGAGGAGAAGATTTTTAAAAGAATTAATGCATTTTCACTATATAATCAATAGAGCCCCGCCATAACACCAGAACCCCTGATCCACGGGCCATAAAATTCACAATTTTGGAAGAGGCACAGCTAATCATAACTATTTATTTAATTTGTTTCAATAATTTGTTTCAATAATACCCAGGAGTAGTGAAGAAGATTTTCAAAGAAATAAATAATTGCACTTTCACTGTATGATCTATATAGCCCCATCCTAGCACCAGAACCCCGGACCCTGGAGCCATGAATTTCACAATTTTGGTAGAGTCACCCTTTCTTATGATAAATATGTATTTTAAAATTAATTTGTTTCAATAATACCCAGGAGTAGAGAAGAAAATTTTCAAAGATATAATGTACTTTCACTATATGATCTATATAGCCCCGCCCTAGCACCAAAACCCCTGACCCTGGGGCCATGAATTTCACAATTTTGGTAGAGTCACCCTTGCGTATGATAACTATGTATTTACGTTTCAATAATACCCAGGAGTAGAGAAGAAGATTTTCAAAGAAATAATGCACTTCCACTATATGATCTATATAGCCCCATCCTAGCACCAGAACCCCTGACCTTGGGGCCATGAATTTCACAATTTCGGTAGAGTTACCCTTGCTTATCATAACTATGTATTTAATTTGTTTCAATAATACCCAGGAGCAGAGAAGGATTTTCAAAGAAATAATGCACTTTCACTATATAATCAATAGACCCCCCAACAGAACCCATCACCCTGGGGCCACAAATTTCACAATTTTGAAAGAAGCGCCTCTGATCATTATAACCATGCACCTAGTTTATCTGCTTTATATTCAGGGGGAAAGAAGAAGATTTTTAGAGAAAATTCATGCATTTTCACTATATGATCAACAAAGCCCCACCCTAACTCCAGAACCCCTGACCCTGGGGCCATGAATTTCACAATTTTGGTAAAGGACTCAATGCTTATTACAATCATGCCAACACTTTGACTGCTTGATGTCCAGGAGTAAAGAAGATTTTTAAATATAGCACTAATTTTTATGGTTTAAGCCCCATCCCTCAGCCCCCAGGGGGGCAGGGACCATCAAAATCACAATTCTGTTCCCCTTCACCCATAGATTCCATATGCTAAAATTGGCTGAAATTGGCCCAGCGGTTTCAGAAAAGAAACTGAAAATGTTCAAATGTTAACATACGACGCACAACACACGAAGCATGATGGACGGTGCAAGACAACGGATGAAAACAGACAGCAATAGGTCACCTGAGTGACTCAGGTGACCTAAAAAAAAACTTAGATATGAAGATACTTACCCCAAAGAAAGAGAAATACTGTGGAATCAGCATGGGGGATCAATGTATGTGGATTTCGTGGGCCAACCTTATCCAAGAATTTACATCCCCACAAATAATTATTTTGTCTACATATTTATTCATTGAACTTCCGTATATACGAGTGACCAATGAAATTACGTCCCTAACAAAAATTTGCTTTCCCACAAAAACATTGACCCCCATGAATTAAAATGATACCACAGTATGATAACCAGGAATCAACAAAAAAGTTACTCAGTAATGAATCTATTTACTTTCCAGTACTGATACACACTATCATTATACAGTTCTGTACAGAATAAACAATGTAAAAACGCTTTCTCTCACTCACTGGCCTCTCTTTGTTGTTGAAGAATATATAATGTACATACATAAAGTATTTTATCTAGTATTTTTATCAATTAATTACAAATCTATCAGACCATTAAAAACTATTAATGTATTTTTTGTATTATACATCAAAAATTCTTCTGTAACTGTTTTATTTAACTTGATCTATTAATTACATTATTTACAGTAATTAATTATCAGGTAAATAACAAACTAAGGGAAATAACTCTCCCTCATATAAATAAATTTCCATACAATATCTATAGAGAATTTCCCAGCTCAAGAACACTTGATCCAGTGGTCAAAAATTTCATAAATCTGGATAAAACACCTTTTTTCATTAAACTTTACTCATTTTGCCTCTTAGATGCCCAGGAGAAGAAAAGGAGAATTTCAAAGAATTAATGCATTTTCACAATATAATTTAATAAAACCCCTCCTTAACACCAAAACCCCTGACCCAAGGGCCAGGAAAATCACAATTTTGGAAGAGGAACCCTTGCTCATCATAACTATGCTTTGCTTTGAAATACCCTGGGGCAGAGAAGATTTTCAAAAAATTAATGAATTTTTAATATATAATAAATAAAGCCCTGCCCTATTGCCAGAACCCCTGACCCAAGGGCCAGGGGGAGTTTTACAATTTTGAAAGAGGTACCCTTACTTATCATAATCATACAATTACTGTAGTTTATCTGCTAAATACCAAGGAGCAGAGAAGAAGATTTTCAAAGAATACATGTAAATGCATTTTCACTCTATCATCAATAGAACCCGACACTATCACCAGACCCCTGACCAAGTGCCATTAATTTCATAATACTTTTGGATGAGGCATCCTTCCTCATTACAATCATACACCAAGTCTGTTTGCTAAAAAAATTAAGGACAGAGAAGATTTTAAAATAAATAATGCATTCAATTATATGATCAATAGAGCCCTGTCCTTACTCCAAAACCCTTGACCCAGATGTATTTCATAGGGGTCCGGATTTCTTTTTATACAATTGGTTATAAACTTTCAAAGATAGATAAAATTGTAAATATTAAGTGCTTGGTACGTATTGTAGTGCTAGTTGTTATTTGTTTCTCTGTTTCCTTTGTTTTTAAGATTTCATTTTTTTTTGTCCTGAGGAAGGGACAGGTCATCCCGAAAATTTGACAATTTTCAATATTCTGGTTATTGGTCATTTTTAATGCTTCATATAAAGTTCAATCCTTGACCTTGTATCTATTTAATAGATGTTGGTTTTCTTGTGTCTTCTATATATAAATAAATAAATAAATATATATATCTATATCTATCTAGTATATATAAATATATATATATATATAAAATCACTAAAAACCAACAACACTGTATATCCTAAGTGTCAGATCTACTAAGTAGATACAAGGTCACGGATGGAAATTTATATAAAGCACTAAAAATGACCAACGACACGAACAATAATAATTGTCAAATTTTCGGGACAACCTGTCCCTTCCTCAGGACAAAGAAAAAAGTTAAGAAGTCATAAAAACAAAGGAAATAGAGAAGCAAAAACAACTAGCACTACTACTAAACTACCAAACACTAAATATTTACAATGTTACATGTTTAATTTGGAGTTTATAAACAGTTGTGAACAAAGAAATCCGGAGCGCTATGAATTGCGTCCGGTCTATCAGGTGTACTCTGGTGAAGTGTGATTTACATAATTGAACGAATTAATTATCGCTAATTAATTACGGCCAACAGTAAATTGTACATTGTCTTATTCTCTCAAAATAGCGTAACTCTACATGATAAAAAGAAATTAAAGAAAGATAATATGGAAGGACAATTTTGAAATATGAATTTGGATATGTGATAAATTATGATAATCAAAACTACATGTGAACTCTATAGCCCTTAATTTACAATGCTTGTGTAATAATTAAATTGCATTGAAAACGGAAAACGACAAACACGCCAATTCACAGTGCTCAATGATTCAATTATTATCATTAAAGAATTACAGGATAGTCGGGGGGTAACGACATGGTGTTTTCACAGTAATCAACACTGTACATAAACTGACCAATTACGCTATGGTCTCAATCTGCAGATTCATAATTACATGTACGTCCAAATTAGATCTGTTAAATCCTAAATGATCATGATTTCGGCTTTTTAAAAATTTTTTTTTTTAAAATGTGTTCAATTTAACAAATATTTTATTTCTTTCGATTAACCAATTACAGATTTTCTAATCGATTGCCATGGTTCCGACTGAGTAATCGGTTAACCGGTTACCAATTGCCATCCCATATATATATATATATATATATATATATATATATATATATATATATATATATATATACTTAAAATAAAGAAGAAAAACATGAAACATCTCAGTAAAGTCATGTTTTTCTTCTTTAAGTATTTTATTCCGACCACTGAGACTTTTATTGGATTGTCTATCTATCTATACATTTATATATATATATATATATATATATATATATATATATATATATATATATATATATATATATATCTCTCAAAGGATTTGTGATCCAGCAGAGCCATGTAATCAAACTTTAACTGAGTAAAGTTAAATCTTTCAATGCTTTCTGTTTAAAATATTCACTTTTCTACCAGTAATACCTTCTCAGCTGGCTGTATTTTACAAGATATATCTTTCAAGACCAAATCTAAACCCTCTCTGTATCGCAAACCATAATTTTCAAACACAATTTCGCCTTTTTGTGGCCATGAAGAATGTGGCTTTGTCTCTGCAATTTCCTTTGGTGCCTAAAAAAATACATATGTAATTGTATTTTAATGAAAATTCAAAGGGATAGTTTCAAAATTTTCTGGCTAAAACATACAGTTTAGAAACATAAACAAAACTAGTTCTTATTGTAAATTAGACCATTACAGATGTTCCCCAATGCTCCCTTCTCCATTATGATGCCTCAATTTCTTAAACTTGTGCTTAAAAATTTAGACACAATCTGTCTTTTATAGATTTGCAACTTATTTTCCAAAATTGTAGTTTGGGGGTAGGAGCAGGGGATAAAATGCACACATAAATGAATAAAAGCTAATCAGATATTATTGAACCTACAGATGTTTTTGAAATAATCATATACATCAACATTTTGGATTTAACAATACATACCAGAAACAAATTTCTAATCTTCCTCATAGAAGAGTTACACTTATATATTTTCCGATGTCTAGTGTTTTTGTGTACATTGGTTCCTATTTTATAAAACCGGAAATTGTAGTTGATGTAAACATGTACAGAACAAAGTTTGGGAGACTTACTAGCAAATCCAAATGATGAAATATAAGCATTTAAGAAAGGCATTTGAAGGAAAAAAAGAAGCAGCAAGGTATCACAATAATCAATACTGCCGAAAATAATCATATTTCTTCGAACGGAATGCAGACCTTAGAGGGGATAACTGTTTCTTGACCTTGTTCAATAATTTTTTTTTGTGTGTAAATGATTTTTCTTGTTTTAATTACTGTGGAAAGAGTTACCAATTCCTTGTTTCTTTAAAAGCAGTACTATTGTAAATACTCCATAAAAAATATCAACATATTTTAGGATTGTTTATAAACTTTTTATATCAATTTTTATCATGTTTTTTAAATATTGATTACATTTGAAAGCCAATAAGAAAATTTTGTTTGTCTTCAATAAAATATTAGACCCAGGAGAATGTTCTTCATAATTTTATAATTACAAAATGTTCCTAAAGATTGAAGAGAATATATTGGAAACTTTTTTAAAAAATATTGAATCAGAAACATACATTTTCCCACTTTCCCCCAAATTTTGGTGAATTGCTCAATCATAAAGTTGTAAGATGGTCAGATATTTTTTTTCTTTAGTGAGAAAGGCTTCTGAATGCATAAAGGTAATTCAGTTTCTTAGGAAAAAGTTTGTGTTATTTATCCTTAAAAGATTTTTACTGAAAACATAGAAAATTACAGCAATTGGAATATGAACCAATCAGAATTCAGCAGACATTAATTTTAAAGTTTATAGTACAGCTGTATCAAATACATGCATATTAGTAGATCAACTCATCTCATACACACACATGTGAATGATCTTCCTTCTGCATTTCTACACAACATGCCTTTAATTAACCCTAACAAGGATTCACCTTATAAACCAGAAGTCTCTGATGAGACTGTAGCTCTACTGGTTTGTATTTGTAACAAAGGAAGAGAAAAGTAGAACTTGATGCATGTGAAACTATGCAACAGCAATAAATAGAATAATGGTCTTTGGTTTAGTCTCTTTGTGGCAAGATTTATTGCAATCAAATTTAAAACTGTTGGAGGAGAAGCCTTCTGAAAGAATTTCAACAAAATTTTTATTTTAAGTAACAATGGCAAGACCGTTCATCAAAATCAAAAACTGATATAAAATTATGGATCTCGTTGTCTACTTGTGTGCAAAATTATATTGAAATCAGATCCAAACTGTAGGAGGAGTGGCATTTTTAAAGTATTTAACATAAATTTCTGTTTTAGTAACCATGGCAACACCGTTTTTCCAAATCCAAAAAAAGGTACATTGAATTATTTATCTGAGTTTTGAGATCTTGTTCAAAGATATGTTCAAATTAGACCAAAACTGTAGGAGAAGAAGTGATTTGAAAGTATTTCACAATAATCTCTATTTTATTAACCATGGCAACAATGCTCACAAAAAATTAAAAAAAATCTATAATACAATATTATGTACCTCAGTGTAGTCTATTTTGTGCCAAGTTATACTGAAATCAGACCAAAACTGTAAGAGAAGTAGCATTTTGAAAGTCTTTCACAGATATTTCTATTTTTAAGAAACAATGGCAACAGCATTCATCAAAATCAACAATCCAATGCACTAAATTATGTATCTTAATGTAGTCTACTTTGTGCCAAGTTATATTCAAATCAGGCTAAAACTGTAGGAGGAGTAGGGTTTTAAAGGAATTTCACAGAAATTTCTCTATTTTTAAGAAACAATGGCAACACCGTTCATCAAAATCAAAAACCAATGCACTAAATTATGTATCTTAGTGAAGTCTACTTGTGTGCCAAGTTATATTGAAATCAGACTAAAACTGTAGGAGGAGTAGCTTTTGAAAGGAATTTCAGAGAATTTTCTATTTTTAGTAACCATGGCAAAACCATTCGTCAAAATAAAAACGGATGCATTAAATTATGTAAATTATGAGTCCCTGGTTCAATCCCCCCAAATTTTTTTTTTGGGGGGTATTAATGATAGTTATTGTTTTTAATACATATTTAATTTGATTTTTTTTTACTTAAGCTAGTTCATTTTTAATCATCACATTTTCCAAATAATATCAATATACACATCAGAAATAAACACAAAGATCTATACATAATTGTTTCAACCTGTCTGTGTACCATATAGAATGTTACCTGGACTTATAATAACATGGGATTTTCAGCCATTTTGGAAGGAAAGACACATAAAGAGAAAAAGTAGATAGATAAGATGCAACAGTAGTTTACGAAACGAATAGTGATTTTGGCAAATCATAGAACAAAATTCTTGAAAACAGTCAAGAAAAAAATATTGATACATAATTCTGTAAAATGTCAAACAGATTTAAAATACTAGAATTATGAAAAAACGTTTTGATTTGATTAAAGTGATATATGCAAATACTAGTACGCAGAGAGGCTAATTGTGGAGTAATAAAAGAGAAATATCTCCTATATATAGTGTGAAAGTATTTGTCTTGAATTTATAGCCCGAATCAGAGCATAAGTTTACCCGGAAATATTTGATTTCTATAATTTACATGTAGAAGTTCTGTATCTGTACATGTATTTCATAAAGTTAGTTTCCTAAATTCAATACAGGATATACATCAAGTAAATCTATTTATAGTAATAGGTACTTTCCATTTAAACATGGTAGTATGCGGGGAAAGGGCGCTTTACCCCTTTGTTGAATAAAAATTTACTGAAAGATCATTTCGAACTACTTTAATATAGAGTACTGCAGTACATACAGCGTCAAGTGATTTTGATCGACAGGCCAAACACATGTTCACTTCGTGTGATACCTTAAGCAGAAAAACAGGTTGTGATCATGACTGACTTTGAATCAAAACACGTTTATGAAAGATATAGAACATTTCTTTGGTCTATGTTATATGGATATGAGGAGTGTGATTACGAGGGAATCTCTCTTTCTCTCTCTCTCTCAGACATATAAATTTTAACTTCATAAATAATAATTTCATATTATGAGAAAAAAATTACCTAAATATAAAATATGAAGTAACTATAACATGTTCTGGATTTAAATCTATAATGAATATATAATTCAATGCTTATCTGCACCAACTTCTCCAAATATAAATCAAGACAGGGAGGGGGGGGGGGGGGGGGGCTTCAAAGGAAGTAGATAGTTTAGTACTTAACCGACAAATCAATGGACTTGTGCAATTTTTTTTTATCACTGTAATTATTCTTTTTTTCAGAAGAAACATCTAGCAGAACCATATTTCACACGGAATCACCTTTTCACAAAGTATTTCATTAACTCTTTGAGTATTTCACAAGAATCGCCTTTTCACATAATTTTAAGTGACGGGTTTCAATTTATATCTAAAAGCTTTTAAACTGTATTACGATTTTCTGTCGCTCAGTTCCATTTTAGTGGATGTAATAATTTTTAACATCGAAAATGAAAATCGGAAATCAGAATATTTGGCATTCAAATCACAGAGTGTATTAGAGAATAAAAAATCGTCTGCATTATAGAAGGCTTAGTAACAGTTTTATTCTGAACTAAATGAGATAGGTAAAATTGCATTCCATCACTATATAAATGTATACTGTTTATAATATATATTTACTTGAATGTGCTAGCTGCCATATATCAGTTTATTTTAGATATATGTACATGTGTAACTACATGAGCATTTTTCAATAACTGTCAATATGTACAGTCTTACACTGCACTGGCAACTTAATACTATATACATATACTGAATGTGGAAACCAACGTACTCTTACATGTAGAAGAGAGTGAATATGGAACATCTAAATAGAACAGAATGCAGACATCGACAACATCATCAATACTATTTCTGCCTTTATCTTGAAAGTTCTCTTCTCACTTACAAGTCAGAGTTATCTTTCTTTGCCCATTGTATACACACTAGGTAAATGGGGGAAATGACGGTACCTAAAATCTAGAAAATGCGCAATCCGATTTTAAAACAAATTATATAATTGGTATTTGTAGACTAATCTCTGTTATGCATAACAATATCTTGAAAAAATATTAAAAAACCAAAAAGTCAAAAATTGACCAAAACACAAATTCACTTCAGGTTCGGACAGGAAGTGCCGGAAACAAACGAAAACCTTCTTGAAACATGACAAATATCATGATCCAATATTCCTGAAAATTTCACTTTTTTACTTCAAACCGTTTTTGAGAAAAACTCTGGACAAAAGTCAATATTAAAATTTGAAATACGGCCGTAACTTTGGACTGGAAGTGAATTTTTCAAAAAACGGAATTTTATATAAACTTCGCATATCAACCTATTATCCTGTGAAAAATTGTTAAAATCTATTGAAACATCTCTGAGTAATCATGCTCACAAAATTTGGGAGGAATAATAATAATTAGAAACTCGTTGCGAGCAACAAGAGGTCTTCCGTCCAAATAACCTTCCTTATATGTGATATTCTTTGCATGTAAAATTACTTTTATATATGCTCGTAGTAAAGACACCTAAATATGTAAT